GACAAATGAATGTTCCAGTCAGTAAATATAAAAAGCTATTTCCACTATCCATACAACTTGTTTTCAGTGAGTCCATGTTCATCGGCGTCGCGGTGAGAATGGATCTGGCAATGTGCCATGGCAGTCGATGCCACATTAAAGCTTTCTCCAGCTTTCAGGCATGCATGAAGACAACTCATTCCTTTTGGGTAATACTCAGTGACTCAACATCTGCTCAGTAAGGGCCAGCTACTGAAACACTATGAGGCATTTATCAAGGTTAGAAAACATATTACAATTCAGCAACTGCTGTTTTACAATTAGATTTCAGAGGTTTTGTTTATGATGACCACAAACCCAGAGATGTTTTATCATGCAATAGAACTAACTAATGCTTTGGAAGAGTCCTGGTAAAATGTTACTTTTCTGCCCAAGAATGCTGTCGGTACTGAGGTGGAAGGTGAGGAATGTGTGACTATGAAACGGTGGGTTAGAAGACTATCTGGCTACTGAAAAGTAGAGAATGTGTCTGGCTGCAGTGCCTCTGAGCAAAACAACTCTACTGGCTCCAGGGCTGCTGCAAATGAGATATGGAATCAAAACAAACACGTCCAATGGTACAATTAATCTCTTATAGTTTAAAAAGTTCCAGATTATACAAAATTTTCCTCTAACATATGAGTCTGCAATGACTATTTTATTATCAATATTTTCAACAACCACAGAAGACTCTTTCAAAGGCTAGAGCTGCCTCCAGGGTTAAGCTTTTAATATCACTGACCAAAGGCCTCTTTTATTTAGTCCAAACAGCACAGTAAGTGATGGACATAAGGGAGAGCATCCCAGTCTCATTATAAAAGCTATAATGCTAATCTTAGGAACCCTCTGTGATGCATTAAATACAAATAGACACTCAAATGTATAAAAACCTTGCATTCAGTAAAGTAATATTACGCATATCAGTGTGTCTTGTACTTTCATATGCAGTTCAAATGAGGCACCTTGCAATTAGTTGAAGCTGTGACTGATTATCTGCCTTATCTACTACTTGTGAATTTTACTAGATATATTGTTTTATTCTATTTTCAGTGTGACTTTTTAAACATGTTGTCAAGTAGCACTGATCACAACAGCAGCAAGTCTAAGTCTGTTAGGCTAGTTTTTAAACCACAGTCACTGTCAGAAAACTAGTACGATAAAATGAATGACTAAATACTCTGTAACAAATTGCTGTAATAATACAGGAAATGTTGTACAGTAAACTGCCGTTCTTCATTAATACAGACCAATACTGTAAATGTTTATGCCTATGAGGAACTAAATATTAACAGCAATCTACTCTGCAATCTTATGTTCAGTCAGACTGGAAAGTAACTTTGTGTGTCCCTAGTTATTCTGAGCAAAATCATATTGCATCAAGTCCCAGCACCTCATTTAAAACACAATGAATGTAAATAAATTTAAAATTGGTGTAAAATATTAGAGATTAATACAAGAAGAAGAATAACTTTAATTGACTAACTTATTAGCTAATTTCCAATTTTTGGTTAAATCAGTTGTTTGAGAAAGATGTTATGAAAAAGGTTTATAGGACGTGTTATGTTAGTTTTCTTTCTCATATGGAGGGGAAATTTGCAAGTTGATGCTAATAAGAACTGAAAGTTGTTTAAAATATACACTAAGTTTAACTAGGCTACATGGCTAACAGCTAGCTGGTTGTCTGTGTTGTCTCCCAGGGTGAAGATGTGGTGTAACTGTTCAAATGTTTTATTTAAGTTGGTGCTGCCACTGAGATGTTGAGAGTTAGCGATGAAAACATCTAAAAACTGTGTTTAATTGAAAGAGTGCTGTTCTTGGCGAAGAGGTTTATTTTGAAGGGCAGTATATGTCAACCATGTGACTAGAGCTGAGTAAGGGGTGCCACTATGGCATTATGGGACAGAGACAACATGGACACAGAGGAGGGACATACAGCCCCAAAGTTATTATTCTACACATGGTTCTAGAGGCACAAACGGTAAATGTACATACAGTATGTTGTATTTCTTGTTCATAAGCTATTATGCATCTCATCACCAACATCCCTGGTGATGCTGACCACCTGAAAATCTTCTTGTTATTATTTGCACTACTGTCACAGTTTACACATGGCTTTGAGTTTCATCATAGCCGATTAGGTTGTACCATTTAGCTTATCCTAATTACTTGAATTCAGTTTCGTATTCTATTTATTTTGTGTTTGTTCTACTTTTATTCTATTTTAGTTTTTGAAATGGTATGGGCATTCAGCATTAGCTGAGAGAGAAACAGTATTTCAATTTTTCTGTGTGTCCTGTACAATTGACAATAAAAAAAAAATTCGATCTTGATGTTGTATTTATGTTTAGTGTTGTTTATGTGCCTCTATTTGTACATATTTAATATTCTTTATCATTACTTTGTAGTTTTCACGGTGTCCAGGGAAAACAGAAAGAGAGAGACATAAACTTTAAGAGGACAACTGTATGAAGCGTGGCAATCCTTTGAATTAAACTAGAACTGAAACAATGCAGCTATATGGGGAGTTGATTATTCACATCATATAGCTGCTGATGGCCTACACTGAGAGAACAGAGGGACTGATACTCCTTGCTGGTGACAGTTTTGTTTTGCATTTTTATGTCTACTATGACTGTACACACATTAACTTTAATTTGGATACCATCGTTTATGATTTACAGATGTCTGCCACTACAGCTGATGTTGAGCGTAACCTGACCCTCCCAGCCAGTCCTATTCTGCTGGGTAAGTGTCACATAAACAAGGCATGGAGGATTGAGCTCAAGTCATTTGGTCTGTCTGTCTCTCTGATTTCGCTCTTTCTGTATATGTCTCTGTTTTGTTGTGCTCTCCCATACATGTAGCTCTTTTATCGATATTGTTTTTTGCGATCCCAAGATGTGGAAAGTAGTGATTTCCAGTATAACAGTATAACTTAAGATACTTGATGTGAATAGATTTTAAAAAGGAAAATCTATTGCTCAGAATTTCATCAGGAGTGTTGCTGCCAATCCCAATACCGTAGAATGCTTGGATAAGGCTTGATCCCATATTTGATATTTTTCTAGGAAATTGACTTTATAATTATTTTCTCCATGAGTTGATGGTGACAAAGTAACAACTGGATGTTGGGTAATCAACACTGAAAGTCTTGTTATCTGTGAAGGATATGCAAACTGAGAACCTCTTCAGCATGAGGAATTATGGACTGTATTTTAAAAAAAGTAATGACTGAATTTACCCATTATTGTGTTTGATGCTGCAGTGGGTTTAATAAAAGTCTGATATTGTAAGTCTATCTCTTGTCTGAGCCATTTCAATGCTAGCAATTCTCAAGGGGTTTCATTTTGAAATGTAAAACTTTTAACTCATTAGCTTCTAGCACCATTATTGTAAACCACATCCCCAACTTCTTTAATACATTTTACAATTATGAACTGTTTATGGAGATTACAGTGGGAGCACTATAATAACTGTAAAATGGCAATAAAACAACTACAATATTAGACTGTAAAGTTTATACTCTGTACAGCACAGCACTGTAATATTTTTCCAGTAATGTAGTGTTGTAGATTACTGCAGGTACCCTGTAGAATAACAGTAAACTACAGGTAAATGTAGCTGCCAGTAGTTCACTGTAATTTATCAGGAACATTGGTATACAAATAAAATAAACTGATATAAAATACAATGCCATATAAAGGTTTTAAGGATTTAAATGTTTAGTGTTCTCCATTGTAAAGGTATCTGAATGGTTCTACATTCATTATGCAACATGAAAACGGCCCCAATGTCCAGCCAGTCATGAAGAGCTATCTACAGCTACATGAAGAATAAGGAGTACTGCAACAGATGGTCTGACCCCCACAGAGCCCTGATCTCAACATCATGGAGTCAGTCTGGGATCACGTGAAGAGACACGAGTCACTGAGACAGAAAAAATCTACAGACGAGCTGTGGCACATTCTCCAAGCTGGAACAATCTGCCAGCCAAACGGTAGGAAAATGTAAAGGCAAATAGTGGTCGCACCAAATACTGACTTCAGTCATATTGTTTATTGCACTTTGTATCAAGTGAATAGTTAAATAAATACTGTTTGTGGTATTATATTTGAAAACATTCTCACTTTACAGCATTTTTTCAGGTCTGTCTATCTATCTATCTATCTATCTATCTATCTATCTATCTATCTATCTATCTATCTATCTATCTATCTATCTATCTATCTTAAGTCAAGTCAAGATTTTTATTTGCCATTTATGCATAATCAGACAGTCTAGGCAAATAGGAATTCTTGTGCAGCTCTCCTTTGGAGTCAGGTAAGGAGTCAAAAGTCAGAAAGAACACTTAGTCTTAAAATAAAAAAGTTACATAAAGGCAACAAAGCATTAAAACCGCAAAACACAAAAATAGGGTAATAGTATTTTCCCCAGTGAACTTCAAACATCACACTTAGTAATTCACATGGTGGAGTTGGATATGTCATTATGCTTGGTGAGGTAGTGAGGGGTTATAACATACTAAAACACAGTTTATATTCAGGCCTGTTTCCATTGCTTGGTGGAGAATGTCCTGCTATTACTCAGGTCGCCCAAGAGAACACTGTTGAACACTGTATCAGGAGTAGAAGAAGCATTCAGGTCTTTTATTTAAGTAAAAATAATGACAGGACTGTGTTGAAATAATTTGGTACAAGTTTAAGTCAAACCTTTACTCATGTGAAAGTACTTTTAATAGCCTCAAAACATACCTAAAGTAAATTATAAAGTATATCCTCTAGAGTCCCTGCGTCCTCATATGAGGACCGCACAGCTTGGGTTTCCAAAGCTCAGGACTCTAGAGGTTAAACTAAATAGACCAAAAATTAAGTATGTATTAAGCAGAATACCCCATTTCAGAATAATACGTATAATTATTGATACATTAATGCGTAAACATCACAAATGTCGGAGCTGTTAAAGGTGGGGCTAATTATTTTAGGTACTGCTGAGTAGTAGTCCAATAGATAGGCCATAATATATGGTGAATCTATACTACGACGGCGTCATCTAGTGTTCATCTACTAAAATATTCAGTGTTCTTTGTCCTGCCCGGTCTCCACATCTATTGGCTCAAGTGCCTTCAACCCTAGGTGACGCTAACCTTCTCTATTGGCTCAGTGATGTGACTGTCAAAGCATTTCCCGGAAGTACAACCGTCCACTTCAAAGATGGAGGACGATATTACAGATATGAGCAGACCACAAATGTACTTGTTTGGTGAGCGCGCTTATTTTGACAAACCTTATATTATTCGGTCGCACAGTCAGCTTTACTACCATGTTGTCATGCACAAGTAGGCATTTAACATTTTTATCTGGTAGAAGTTAGCTCAGTGGTTGGCTAACCTGCTTGTCCCCACTCGGCGCCAGTTCAGCTCTCTTTTGTTAGCTAGCCGAGCACTGCATGGGGCTGCGTGGAAATAGCAAAGAATGACCCAATACCTTTATGTATTTGTGTATGTTGTTAAAAATAACTACAAGCACATGGTAAGTTACACGCTGCACGTATTGTTTTTCTGTAGGTTGCACCCTCAAATCGGATAAACGGGAGTTCAAAATTGACGTAGAAGACGATGATACGGAGCAACAGCTGTCACTCAAAGCAGTAAGGAAAAGGCTTTCCTTTATCTTTCCTTTGCACGTAGAAGACTTACCACTGAGTAATACGACAAATATGGGTTTACGGGGAAACACAAGGATTAAATAGACCAACGTTATGCTAAATTCTGCTTTGTTTATACCTCCAAAGGTAGCTGCTTTAATAAAATTACAGTGTAGTTCAAAACGTAGTAACGTTACATATTGTTGAGATTACTGCATTAAGTTACTGACAAAACCTGTGCATACAGTTACTCTTTGATTTTGTGTCTAACTGGTTGTTTGAACGGCTCATTTTCAGTCTGTTTGGGGTTGTATGTACATCTTTTCACTTCAAAATCAACAACGTGAAATTTGCAGGGGATGCATACACTATGTTCATGTGTTGTGTTCCTAAGATTTACACCTAGTCTGTACAAATACGGCTCAGGTCAGAATCTGTGTATGCTCTTTTTACATTTCTTGTGTATATTTCATTGAAGATAGTTGTATGTTGTGTTTTGGCAACAACCTAAGTTGTTAGTCTTGCAGTTTTTTCTACTTGTCTGGAAATATTTTGTTAGAACTTTGATGATATTTATACCAGATGATTTTAAATTTTGATTACAGGCAGTGTTAATGTTTCTTATCTTAATCACTATATTCTATTGGTGTTTTCTGAAAGCAAGAAGAAAACAGGTGTTGAAACTCAAAACCTGTTAAGTTGTTGTTCATTACAGTGGACTGCAATTACCAGAGACCAGACAAATGTTTTAAATGTATTTATTGTTTCATTTATTTTCAACCCGAAAGTCTGAGACTGACCAGTAAAGGGTGGGTTCTAATTTTAACAGCTGCACCCTGAAAATATTTGGCATATTTACCTGGAGGATTTCAGCTAACTGTTCAGTGTCCAATTAATAAATTGTTTCAACACTAATTAAAGATATTGTTGTTAATCAAAATGGAGCTATAGTCTTCAGCATGTAACAAGTATTTTGGAAAATAAGACCCTAACTGGAGAGGTGATATCCCTAGAAAACCTTATTAGACAAAAGAAGAAACATGGAGTTGGTCAGCTGACGTCTGCATACGTCGTGTGTGTTAGGATAGACAAAGTGTGTCAGCCTGTTGATGCTGTGACCTGCTATTGCAGGTGTGTCTGGGAGCTGAGGCCGAGGATAAGTTTCACATGGTGGAACTTGAGGGCCTCACCTATGATGGAAAAACAACCAAAGTGCCGTTGGTTGTCCTGAAGCCGTCCGTCCTGCCTTCTGTGAGTAAATGCCAACATTGACAAAGTAGTACTATATTAATATTATGAAAATATTTGCTTGTTATAATTGTTCTTTTATTGTCCAGATGAGTTTAGGGGGATTTGAGATCACTCCTCCAGTTACCTTCCGTCTCCAGTCTGGCTCTGGACCTGTTCACATCAGTGGGCAGCACTTTGTTAGTGCGTATTAACACTATTGCTGTTACTGCTGCAGTTGTCTTTCATTCTGCTCCATATACTTACACAATATGACTCAGTAAACAGCTCATCACATGAATAAAATGAAGTCCTGACCTACTCATTGTCATGTCAGAAATAGCCAGTTGGTAGCTCTACTTTGAAGTTAATGGAGTGCCATTTTACATTCATAAAACACAAACCAGTAACCAGTGTTTGCTATGTAGGTGTGAAGGATTCAGAGGATGAAGAAGAGGAAAACAACACTTCACCAGTGAAACGACCTGCGAGCCTGATGTTGGGCAAGAAGCCTGCACTGGTAGCTACCTCAGTGTGAATTCATTTGGCAGCAGAGCTGTATTTAACTACTAGAAAATTATCCCACAAGCTGAGAATGAAGCACAGAAGATGTTTGTTAACCTCCGTAAAATAGCAAGATTAAATTATGGTGTGGTGTTTATTTCTCGCTGTACCCATACTAAACAGTGAAGAGCTGTGTTGTCGTAAATGATGTGAAGTGACATGACATAACACAATGTGATTATCAAAAGGTAATACCAAAAATCACAAGCTGGTAAATGTTTTTCCTTGCAGAAAAAACTAAAGCTGGATTCTGATGATGACGACGAAGAAGACAGTGATGAAGATGATGATGAGTATGTTTTTTTTCTATGCTGAATTTTCAGTCACTCCACTTGTCCACAAATCATTTTTATCTGCCAAAGTTTTAGTCAGCTGCACAAATAATAGAAGCAATGGCTTTATTCACTGTTTTTGTTTTCTTTTTTCTGTCATGTTGGCTCATGTCATACTGCTCTTTCCTCCCACTGTTTTGTAGTGATGATGAAGATGACGACAGCGATGAAAATGATGTGAAGCCTCAGAAGATTCCTGGAAAAGAGCTCAGAAAAGTATGACCAGCCTGTTTTTTTGTTCCTTTTTATATATATAAAAACTCAAACTTTGAAACTGTGGAAAAATAATTGACAGTAGCTGCAGGATACCGTAGAAAATACACTGCTCATAACAATTAAGGGACCTCTTGATTATCACAGTGTAACATAAAGTTAAACTTTAGGGATATCAATCTGTCCATTTAGGAAGCACAAAAGATTGTGAACCACTTTCACCTTCTTTGGTGCAAGCTATTTGCAGGTTTTATCTTTAGCTTTCAGTGTTACCAATTAATAAAATATTCTCTTATTTTTTATGTTAAATTATTTTTGTGGCTCCTTTGAGGTAATCGAGTAGTTACTGCCTTAACACACTGAGCTAAAGACTCGTCAGTGTTCAAACCAAACTAAATGACTAGAACTAGATACTATTTGTTCAATGTTTCCAGGCCCCTGTTGTCCACCAGGTGTCAGAGCAGCCAAGGACTTGCCCTCAGTTTTTTATGTAAAAGGCATTTCTCTGTGTTGCTGCAGTCGGCCTTCTCCACTTTGTTTCCACCACATAATTTAAACTCCTACTATTTCTCCTATAGTAGCATTTCATTTCAGCAGACCCTTCCCATTCGTGCACTCACTGACCGTCCGGCCTTTTGCATGGGACAAAACAGGGCACGTTTTCATCCTGTTTGCTCATGTACCCACCTGTTTTCCACAAGAAAAACACAGGTCTGTGTAGCGTAATGATTGGATTTCTCCTCTGTAATCTGCTTGAATTCTTACCGTGTCAGCAGCAAGGCGGCACTATATTATCCTGGTCATGCACACACACACACACACACACACACAAACATGCATGCACTTACCTAGTCAGAGATACATGTAGACATTATACGTATACATCTAATTGTTGAAGTACACTTTCACATTTACAGAAATGTCTGTCAGCCTGCAGACATCAACAATACATATTAATATATATGCAGAGAAGCACATTTCAACATTTTACCCCATTTTTCAGTAACATTGCATATCTTTGTCACTTTGTCTCTGTCATCCCATTGTTTGTAGCGTCCCTCATGCTGTTTCAGCTTTGCTCTGTCATCCCATTGTTTTTAGCGTCCCTCATGCTGTTTCAGCTTTGCACTTTGGCCTTTGCCTTTGAACCATTGTTTTGTGTGTTACCACAATCACTTGTAAGTGTGTTGTTGCATGTGTGCATCTGCCTCATTTTTACCTTGGTGTCTGTTTATGATGTCTTTACGTTTTCTTAACACCCTATCCAAGTGCAACCTGTGCCAGGCAAAAGATCAAAGTGGGGCAGATGCACATACCTGCAACGTGAGCGCTGATCCTTGCCTCAGGGTCAGATGACAGCTGAGTGTTTCTGTCACCTCTTGATTTATTCTGTTGTCTTCTCTTCTAGTTCTCCCACCTCCTACACCCCCCATCTCTCTTCTCCCTGACCTTAATTTTTTTCTTCAACCTTCTCCTTAGCTCAATGTCTCATTCTTTTATAATGAATACACAAAGGTTTTAAAACACAGGCTGGGACCAGTTATTGATTTACTGATAAGTCAGCAATAATAGTAATTAACACGAGTCAGCATTTTTGTTTTAATTGGTTGGGTATCAGACCTCGGTGCTGCTTTGAGCTTTGATCAAAATGTGTCAGAATCTCTCAGCATCGAAAACTGTCACATAATTTGCTTGGTCAGGTACAGTATGTAGTCTAATGTACTTTCTCTTTGATCAGGGGTATTTGATCTAAAAAGGGGATTGTTGTTACTGAAAATCATTACTTACAGGAGTGTATCGAGAACTATTTAAGCAGTAAGTCAGGAGGTATTCAAACCCCTTCAATTTGTACACACTGTAGTTTTTTGCAAATGTATTGAAAAGCAAAAGCAAACAGCCAGGACAACACTGGAGTGGCTTCAAGTCTCTGTCCTTGAGTGGCCAGCCGGAGCCCAGACTTAGACCCAAGAGAATGTTTTTGGCGGTTCACAGACGCCTCCTGTCCAATCTGTCGCAGCTTGAAGGGATGTGCCAGGAAGAGTGGGATAAACTGCCCAAAACCAGGGGTGCAGCGCTTGTATAATAGCCCAAGAAGACTGGAAGCTATAACTGTGCACTGAGTATCTGAGTGCTGAACTAATGATCTGAATGCTTTTGTAAACAATTGATTACAGCTGTTGATTTTTGTAATACATTTTCCAAAACAAACAAACAAACAAAAAAAAACAGTAGTTGTTTGCTGGACAAATGGCCATTTTCTCTATTTAAAATAAAATCTCCAATGTAAAAAAAGTGTGCAAAAAGTAATGGGATCTTATGTGGCACAGGTTTGATGCCTGGTATGACGAGCAAACGCGTATATCGAGTTGCACAATTTTCAGTTCTGGTTTGGACTGCCTTAGATGTGTGTTACAAACATGATCCTGAGACATGTTGCCAACAAGTGACTTGTATTCAGATGTTTGAATTTCATTTTGACAGGATTGCCATGACAAGTAAATCTTGCATCATTACTATAGACAATTATCAACAGAGAAGCCTGGCTGTGCCAGCGACCGACTTACGGAACAGTGCACACCTATGTAAAAAAGTTAAAGTGCTGACAAATGTTATTTAAGGAGACACCTTTGTTCAGTTAAAACCACAGTTTTTATACAACAGTAACTTTTCCAGGAGCCCTGGAATTGCACTCGGACCTCATGAACATTACCTGTGTTTCAATCACAGGAACGACTCTTTGGCCATAGTTCATTCCTGCAACACGTCTTTTCTGCTGCAGACTCTTTCTGATGTCCCAGTGTAGGAGTTTGCAGAACTGAACATCTCTGACTGCTCCAACACAAGGCTTGAGACAACACAACTAGTCCTTATGTAAAGACCTCATGCAGACTGTGTAATGTAATGTGTTTAGCTGTTTACCAATGGAGCGAGTTTAAAAAACAGCCAGATAACAGCACAGAGAAGGACGATGCAGTTAATGAGTCATGTAACAAGGAAATGCTCAGCATGTTGTCACTGTGTTAAAACACAGACATCAAGGGACACCACAACTTGTCACACACAGAAGCCATCGCCTTTTAATTCCTGAATGGAGCAGTTTGCTAAACGTCACTTCACCTTATGGTACAAACAAGTGAAAAATAATCAGTGACAGACTGTGGAAATGGTCACTGTAACAAAAGAGGCAGCAACACAGCGGAATTTTATTTGTCATCGCAAAAGAGTTTGGATTGCATAGCACACACCTTCGGGTTCATCCATTAACATCCTCATTGTAAAAAACAAACCTATAAAATCTCACTGCAACAGCATTTTGTATTACCAGGCATTGCTCTAGGAAATTACTTGTAATTGCCTTGTAGCAGTTATGTCAACACAGGCAATTACACTTCTTGCCTATTCCAAGGTGAATGCCAGTGACTGCAAGGAAGGGGCTGGTGCTTAGGAAATGTAGGTACTTGCCTCAACTATTACCAGGTAATTACACAGGTGAATGAGAGCAGTGGAAACCTGACAGGAAGGCTGCCAGTGTGGAGAAAAACAGTGTAGAGATCACTTAGTATCTGATCAGAGAGGATTTACCTCTGATTTATATCAAATGGGTTCTTTTAGATACTTTCAGATTTCTTTGCACTTGTTTCTAGTATAGCAGATGTATGAACTTTTTTGCTGAGATGCTTAAATCGGTTAAATGACTGATTCTTAACATTAGGACTGCCGGTACTCCTTTAACTTGATGCTGTTTTTTGTTTTATTTTAGTTTTTACAGTGTTCTTTGTCATCTTGGGGTTGAAATGCTTTTAACATAGTCTACACGTGTAACATCCAGAATATGATATACAAGTATGTAGATGGTTGTTAAATGTGGTAATTGGCCATGTTTTCACCAGTGTCATCCAGTTTTTCCATTTTTGTGTGTTTTGTGAGCATTTTATTAAAGCAGATTGGTAAGTTAAGCTCTTCAAAATGCACATTTCCTTAAAACTCAGAGATGTCTCACCTGGGATGTCTTTATTTGTGGATCACGGTTGTGTTTGTTTGCTTTCTCAGAGCCCAGAGTCTTTAGCTAAGAAGCCCAACAAGACTCCGGTGAAGCAAAACGGCCCTGGAGGGAAACCATCAGGATCAGCAGGCAAACCACAGATTAAGGTATAGAAAGGTTTTATCACTTACTCAACTTTGTTTCCTTTGTATTCAGGATGTAATGCACATGGTTATTAAATGAACTGGTTGACAGCCCTGCAGACCTGGACTCCAGTTTTTTGAGCAGTGTTTGCACAACAGGTTTACTGATGTATTGAGAAAAGGTGTGAATTCTTAGTTTGAATGACTTCAGATTTGTTAGAAGAAAGTACAGCTAGATTTAAAAACTGTGTGGTTTTGTCCTGTACCAGATTAGATCTAGTAGGTGTGGACATTTTCTGTTTCTCATTCGTTGTGTCTGCAGTTACAGTCAAATCCAGAAACTGTTCCTTTTGAAAGACATTACTCATTACTGATACATTAATGATGCAAAATAACTGGGCTTAATGAAAACAAGAGTTTTAAAGAAGAATAGAGAAAGGAGGGGCTTACCAATTGCATAACCGAGAAGCAACTTTGATAGATTGGTATTATGTTACTAATGCCTTGTGCTACAATATATTCAGAAAAAATATTGATCCCCCACAGAATAAGGCTGGATTCACACAGCCACTGCCCCGTGTTAAAACAATACAAATGACTGCGTTGGTGTGGGGATGTTGTTTTTTGTACTGATGAGACAATGAAATATGATCTGGGAGGTCCAGTTATGTGTTTAAGCTTATTAGATGACAAAACACACCACAGTGGTTTGTAATACTCATAGTCAGGAATTTTCAACTTTGGAACGTTATCATTGCAGCGACCGTTTTATCTTTGCTTGTGACAATCTCGAACTAATCTGCAGAACTATATGTTCATGCTACAGAGTAATCTACCAGGAATCCACACATACATGTAGATGATGGGCCAATGCAGCTTGCCAGATGACGTCACATTTCGTTGCAGAAAGAGTTGAACCACATCCCGCTTTCTTCCAAACAATTCTGCGTTGTTTTGGCAGAGCCTCCCGTGGTGCCAGCCCCAAAATCACATGAATGAGAAGGGCTACGTTCACAGTGAGAGTCTGTGTTAATCCAACCTGAAGCAGTAGAGAGGAAAACATTTAAAAGCTCCTTCTTTACAAAAAGATATGCACCTCCCAGTACTTAACATCATGTCTGGAAGTAAAAACTTCATGAGGCTTGCTTGTAAAATTCATTACACAATGTACTTTGCTTATAAAGAAACAAAAGACAAACAACATGATCTTTATGTGTAAAATCATTTCTGCTCAAACCTGAGCCTGAGAATACTCAATAAATACTTAGAGAGCTTTTCACTACCAAGGAGTGTAATAAATGCACCTTGCAATTAGCTCAACGTGATAGCTGATTTCTTGGACATCCACCTTTCAAAACCCAACACAAACACACCTGACCTTTAAACAGGTTTCCTAGGGCAAAATATAGACCTGTGACCCCTTTGAGTTGCACCCACCTTTGATGCCATCAACCTTCTGTAGGACACATAATATACATATCAGTGAAAACAAATTGGCAAGCTTCACTGCAGTTTTACAGATTTCACAAAGCCTGTTACTGTGATAAATACATGACTTGGACCGAAGCTCAGTTTAGATAAGGTGTTATGTATTGACATATGAGTTCTGGCTGCTTGTGTGATTAAACATGGCTTACACTAAAGGCACACCACCCTATCCCACTGGCACACACAGTAAGCATAAGACTGTAGCATAGCAAAACATGTCTGTTGTCTTCAAAGAAAGCTCTATGATTTTGATCATCATGACACTGAGCTACAGGGTTGCTAGACTCCTGTGGTGAGAAAGTGATTCCCCCCAGGGCCAGTGTTCTTGGTGTGTGGGAGAGTGCAGCTAAATCCGCAGCGGCCATCATCCAGACATAACACAGTGATTCTTGAAATGCTCCCGGGGGATTAGCTAAACTGCTGAAATCACCCTGCCATGTTCAGCTTTCTGGCCTGTGGAGCTTTGACTGCCCTCATCCCTTCTCCACTTGTCCTCGTTCTACAGCCTCTTCACACCGTTCACTTCCTGCACACACCTTCTCCCAATGCTCTTATTACCAGCATTTGATGTCTTTTGCAGCTTGCACCTCCAGATGCCCCTGAGGAGTGGGGAAGTGTGAGTGGATGTCTGTTTTCTTCTTTCCTAAATGCAGGTGACTGACATTAGATTGGCTTGTTAGATCCTTTGCCAACACTGCAAGTCTCACCTTTAACAGCCGAGCGTGTAGCTACACCTTCTTGCATAACAGGCTCATCATGAGATCCATCTGACTCCAATTGTCCTGATCTGAGGTTCTTACATTTCAGATGGTTGCTTTTGACTGATGGGCTTGGAGAAGTTGATGCCATGAAGCACACGTCATAGTCGTAAAGTTAAGCACGTCACTCAGACTTATCTCAGAAGGGTGTGAGTCATTGTTTTAGTGAGTATAGCTGCACGCTGGTTCAGTTCAAAGGAAGACCACGCTTCGTACTGATGTCTTCAGAAAG